GAGTTTTTTTCTTGAGAGAATGGGTATTACTGTTGTACCATGGCGCAGTACGTTTTTCTCTAACCTTTTTCAATTTGATGGGGGCAACAGCTTCTAATGTATTTAGAGAAGATAGTGCCCATGTTGCTAGTCATTTCGTCTAGTTCATGTGTACTTATTGGTACACAGAGCAGTTGAGATAAATCAGGCAGGTTATTTGTGAATCTGTCTTTGGTGGCTGGAACAATAGTTCTGCCACATGTCCGTTATTGTGAAACCCGTGAGACAACAAAAACACAGCTCCGATCACAGCGTCCTCCATCCTCCTGTTGTTAACGTTGTTCTACTTTTCTGTTGTTGAACGCCGCGCACAAATGACGTCGCTGTCGACCGGCTTACGTCACTTCCTAGTACACACTGTTGGTGCGAATGGTACTGGGAAATAGTTCGCGCAAAATCGTCCCAGTACTTTAGTACTGTACATTTAATTCTGGAACTAAAGCGGTGCGAAAGGCCCTATTAACTGCTTTTTGATGCTTTTTTTGGCAGCTGACAGCCCCAGTCCCCATTCACTTTCATTGTAATGTTAAAGAGCAGCGTGATCATTCTTTGAAACATCTCTTTTTGTGCTCTACTGAATGATGTCAGTCATTGAGGTTTGTAACAACACAAGGGTGAGTAAATGATGACAGAACCGTCATTTTTGAGTAAACTATTCCTTTAAGACCGCCTTTATGAAGAGTCACCCAAAGTTTAGTCAGATTCACCTTTTCTATTTGACAGAATGAGGTTTAACAGTATCCTCCGCTTACGAAGCTGTTAACCTCAACAACAGCCTTGGGTTTCTGCATGGGAAGCGAGCAGCAACATCAGTCATCCTCAAAGCTATTGAAATAAGGCGTTCCTACGCATGTTATACTCATTCAATTGTCAATTGTCAAATTGTCATTCATTGTGAAAGTGAACATCGTGAGAGCATCTTGGAGCCACAGTGTGTTTCTGTGGTGACTGATGAAAACATTGTGCGCCATAGCAAACATTTGGGCTCCACGCACGTCAGGAAACTAACAGCAAAGTCAGATGCTCATTTGAATCTGCACACATCCGTGAACCAAAGTACCACTGATACCAAAGGCACCAACATGCAAATGACTTTAGTATATCAGCATGTGCATTTCGACATGAGCTACTGATTACAGTTATAATGGAAACAGAAGCTGATGTTTTGCATATCGAGTCTCACTAAGTCTCTTCCTGTTCTGTTGTAAACTTCTCTTGCTGTGAAGAAGTGCATGGTTTTTAACTCCTAGAATTAATTCTCTGAAATATCTCACACCACTATGATTTGTTCGAGCCTCTTTATATCCATAACCATTTACACAGAGATCCAGTTGCTAGTCCTTCAGCTGACCTAAGTTGTTTTATTGTAAAGTGGAGAAACTGCGTGGCGTGACTTACCTTTTATTGCTACTATTAAAATTACTTATTTTCTTTTACCTAATTGACTATTTAAATTGTTATATTATCCATCCATATTGCAAACTGCTTGTATAGAGTAGCTGATATTTTGTATTAATTTTCATTATATTACCCATCATCCATCCATTCAATGCTATAATATACTATATTACATTATTATCTATCCATTTTGCAAACTGCTTGTCCCATGTAGAGTCACTGATATATTATCCATCCGACCAACTTGTATAAAATAATATATTCAAAGTAAATGTAACTTTCTTCACTTCTGAAAAACGTAATATTTTGACTGAATTGAATAATTGAATATTTTTTTTATTTGGAAATCGCCACATTACAGAAGTAAAACTGGTTTTGACACCAAGTAAACTGGCTGTATCTTTTGCTAACTCTCATGGTGCTGAAATGTAAACTGCTGAATAGCCACACATTTTTATAAGCCTCAGCCAGATGGCTTGGTGTGGTTTAGTGGTGATGAACTGCATTTACAGTTCAAACGTTGAAACAACAACAAAAATGGCCCAGTTTCGGTGTGGCTTGTTTATCAAAGATGTTTGCATGTGAGTAAACCACCTGGAGCCATCCCTCACGTTCAGCATCCTTCAAGCCATTGAGTCTGTCAGTCAGTCTTTGTGAAGCCGTGCAGGTCAACATTCTCGTCATTGAGCACATTATGGTGTTAATCCACTGTGGAAACACTATCAGACCTGATTTAGCAATGCTACGTCGAACAAGAACAATGGCACACCTTGCGAGCGTATGACTCATTTTGTTTACTTTAGTATAATCTGATTGCAGATCTACAAATAACGTTACCCTCTGCAGACGAGACATCTTTGTTTACAGTCCGTTTTTTTTATTTTATTTTTTATTGTGTGTGTCTACAGACATATGGGCTGCATCACCAGAGTGAGAACTCAGTGGAGATGTGCACCTTTGTTTGCAAAGTCCACGAAGACAGTCCTGCCCAACTTGCAGGCCTTAAAGTCGGTAAGTGTGCTCACATTAACACCACCCTTTATGTTTGCTCCCGCTCTAAACCAGCATTTGACACAGAGGCTAGAATATTCAGAGTGGTCCTTGGGGTCACAAGGAGTGCGTTACTGCATTTTAAAGCATAAAGATCCGTTTCCTTCATCTAGCTCTTGAATATCCTGTTTTGTTGTAAAATGAGTCTGTGTGAATAGGAGTAATATTTCAGAAGGCTTGCTTTCTCTCTTGAAGATCTCATCAATCGGTCAACCCCATGACAGTTGAGTGGCAGCCCTGCTGTTTAAGCAAGAGCAAATATCACAGAGCAGCACCCACATAGACTGTGCGTGGATTTTTACTCTTTCAAACTGTAAAACCGGATACTGTCAAGTCACTCTGTGGCTTTTTTTTGTGGGTCGTGTTTTTTTTTCTGAACAATGTTTCCTTTTTGTTTTAGTAAGTTCTTACTGTACTTGACATAAATCTTTTACTTGGTATAAATGAAGAGGAGCTGTTAAATTAAGCTTTACAAATCTAGAAGATAATTTTGAGCCATGGGTTCCCTTGTGAATCTCAAAAAAAAAAAAAAAAAATGAAAGAAGTTCATGCCTTCCCTCTCCATGGCTTTTAACCCAGTTATTTCCACTTTTAAGCATGGGGTTTTGCTGTAAATGAGAGTTTACAGCAGCCCATTCAAAAGAGGTTCCCGCTTCATATCCATATCACCAATGCCGGTCCTGAAATTATAAACATCTGGGGGCTGGGGAGTTTTGTATTACCACTAAGCTCATATTCAGACACGTTGTGGTCTTAAGTCTGTTTTAAAGAGCTCTTTGACTTTGTTTAATTGCTGTGTTTAATAGATTGAGGCTTTGAAGTGTAATACTGCACAATATAGGAAGTGACTTTGTCATGCAATGCTGTGTTTTGTTCCTGTGTCTAGGCTAGAAACCGTCTATAGTGACTCTATACGAAAAGCAGAATTGGAAGCCCGACTGCAGTATCTAAAGGTAAGTCTCTCGGACCACATGTACACCGACATGCTCGAATCAAGCAGCGTGTCCTCTCGTATACGGAGACGTTTACAAGCGTTGTAATGTAAGCCCAGCTTTTACACAGCTGCCCCGGTCTGGCACAGAGCACTAGCGCCGACCACACCTGTTTCCTCTCACAAACCCACCTGTTCCAGTGACAGGCCAGTCTTAATCCTCACATACCACAGTACAGCTGACATAGCGCTGTTTGAAACGAAACGAGGCACATTTTTACATTCCTTATGACATTCTCATATGTGAAAGAAGATGCCTAGGCCATAAAGTTTAAATACAACTATAATACAGTTTCATTTTGGTTGTCACTTCTGTGGTATTTGAGAGATACGTTTTGGCACAAAGGCTTGTTGTTGGCTATTGCTACAAATATACCCGTGCTACTTATGACTGGTTTTGTGGTCCAGGGTCACATATTTAAAAACACTAATAATTTAATAACAATGCTAAATTTATTTTTTTTGCAAACCTTAAAATTAATATCCATTTTTCATAATGTACATTATAATGTTGTGATGCCTAAACTTGATTTTAGAATTTAAAACAATTTATTTTAGTTTATTGTTTTATTTTTCATTTATTTAGACGAAATAGAACATTTTACATAGAACAGTTGTCTGCCATAACATAAAAATAATCTGCTCTTTGCTACCTGTTTATTGTAAAATAGGTGCATCCCTTTTTATTATGAGATTCAGTAAAATAGATTAAAAAAACAGAAGATACCAGAATAAATACAAAAATTAAGTTTATTAGTATCATGACAAAGCAACTTTTTGTTCTTTTTATCATATTTGGTGAAAATAATTGATTAAAAATGGACCCACACAACAAAGAACTCTGCAATGAGTTCAAATTTGATGGTTTGTTGATGCGAGAAGTAGCAATAGAGAACTTGAGAACTGTCTGACCTCACTGACCACACACTTCCCTGTTCTCTATGATGATGACGATGGGGAAAAAGTAAATGAACAGACTAGTAGAATGACACGTGAAATGACTCTTACTGTGTCTTTTTGTCTCTCCAGCAAACCTTGCATGAGAAATGGGATGAATACAGATCTCTAATGGTGCAGGAGCAGCGGCTTGTGCATGGTGAGATTTTAGCACATGATAGCGATCTTTACTACACCAGGCCTTTGAATGAGCTTGTTTCAATAATGTATAAAGGTTGGCAGCCTGACATTTGCACACTTCTGCATGTATTTGTATCACACAAAACACTTCCTGTTAGCACAATGTTGTGATAGATGACTTAGAGAGTGTGGTAAATAAAGAAAAACATATTTAGAAGCACATGCTAGTTTTTTCCAGTGTGAGTAAAGATCAAACTAAATGCCTTAGCATACCAACATAATACTTTACTAGCCTGCAGGATCCCTTAAAGACTTATTTTAAAATGGGGAGTAATTTTCGTGGGTTATTATGGGTTATGAAAGGTTCATATTTTGGTTTTGGGAGTCCCCAACAACAGGTTGACATGCATGCAAGGTCAAAAAACACTTTCATTGTCTTATAATATGCATTTATTTTTACCTTACTTGCTCAACGTCAACGACTCCCAAACGATTCGCTCAATGATTCATTTTTACAAACTCCTCCTTTGCGTGATGCTAATCTGCAGTGATTGGTCCGATTGGTCAAATTCATTTCCATTTCATCATGCCTGTAATGTCTGATAAAGCAGCGTTTGTGAGTGCAGTGCTGCTTTGTGTACAGCGTTACCGGGGAAACCGCTATTTTTACCGCTCCAAAAGCTGCACCTAGTGGCAAAGAATGAATTTGCATTTTTATTCAGACCAACTCAAAAAGACCAATAAGTGGGTGGGCAATATGCTAATATTTCATGTTGATGTCAACATGAAACGGCTTGGGATTCGTTTTAAAAACGACTCGTTTCACTGATTCAGAGTCGACTCTTTCTTTTGAGAGACAATAACTTTATGCACTGTGCACTTTCAGATAACTTTGCAGGATGTTTTCATTCTCTTAGAGCTGTGTTACACCCTGCATGAAGGGTCATTTTCAAAAATCAATAATAGGGGCACTTTAAAACATTTCCAGAGTTTAATTTAGCTATCTGTTTTCAATCTCACAGGCATCGTCATGAGTGATGTGGCTGTGTATGAGTCTCTGGAGTCAGCCGGTTTATACGGTAGTCTGGGAGCTCCGAGCCCCGCAGCCATGCGTGCGTTATGTGGCACCGGGAGCACGGGCAGCAGCATCAGCCATCTTAGTGCTGCCACAACTGAGGATGACCCACTCTACCAAACCTGCATCTTCCAGGGGGAGCGTTCCAACAACGCCAGCAACGACGAGCTCGACTCAAACCAAGAGAAGACTCAAAGCGGCCGTCCACGCCTCATCCGACCCGCCAGCGAGCTCTTCGCTACTGCCAAGACCACCTTGACCCGCAGCGCCAGCACACGCAGTTACCTGAGGGGCCCGCCGTCGTCATCCTCGGTGCCTAACGGAGAGAAACAGCAGTGCGGAGGGTTCAGCACACTGCAGCGCAAACCCAAACAGAAGAGCTTCAGGCGGAGGCTGTTGAAGTACATTCCCGGACTAAACCGACCCCTGGAAGAGGAGGAAAGCAAACTGTGAGAAACAAAAGCGAACTGAGAATTCAAAGACTCCCTTTGCCAAAGACTAAATGTTTAAAATGAGCGAAAAGGAAACTGAAGACCAAAAGTGGACACCAAGATAAACCAAAGAATCCAGTGATGATAAAACAGTGTTTTCATCTTGTTTTCTGAGAAAAATTGAGAGCCTGTTTGGTCAAGTTGGTAATAATTTTAAGTGTGCCAAAAGCATCTGAATACAAAACATTAGCTTAAGATTGGATGGGCAATTTAAATATTATTTTAGACTTGAAGTATTCAGATTAGTCTAAAATGCTGAAAGTAGATGTGGATGTCTGTTTGTCGCTGGAATATTGTTTAAAATTCTGTAACAAATAATATAACAGTTAACAAGACCCAAAAATGTGGACCAGTGTGTCTTATTCACTTTGTCAACTCCTTTAACTAGTTTAACATTGTCTAACTTTATTTCCTGGTGCACATTTTGCACCTAAATCAAGAAGCAAATGCTTGTACATTTTGTTCATGTTTAAGTTATTTATTTAATGTTTATTTTCTGTTTTTGTTTTTTCGTTTTGTACATTTTTTTTTAAATTGAAGATGTACAAAATGAAGGATTTTTTTTTAATTATTTGATCATAATTGAAGCCTTTTTGGCATGTATGTGTAAAGAACTTTTTTATTTTTTTATTTTGTGAAAATGTAGATTGAAAATAAAAGGATGGTATTTTTCCCTCATAATTTCTCTAGTACATTTTTTGCCCTTTTCTATGTTGAATACATATGCTCAGGGTATTTTCCCTGAAGTCCACTTCACACTAAACTCCCTGCCATTTGAGCACAAGTGCTCTTATTGTGCAGATGTCTTTGATTTCTTTCCAAAATATTTTTCTTTGCACTTACGATACCGGCAGCTCATACAAAAGACTACACCCTAATGTGCTTTCCTAACCTCAAAAACAACATCGTCCTATGGGGCAGAGACTGTGTGTATTGTAGTATGAAGGGATTGGTTGCATTCCTCTGATGCTGGACTCTGAGAGACCTTCAGTGATGTCAAACGAATTCATTATAGGGAATGTGTGGATTGCTGTTAGGAATATGCATCAGAATGTGCATCTAAAGAGTGACCCCAGGATTCCAGGCCACAAGCTTCGATTCTCTTCTTTTAGGTCAGAGCTGAACCCTTGCCCTCTGCCTTTACACACAAAACACATTCCCCCATGGTGCTTTGATAAGACACAAACCGCATCCTCACCCCAGTGTACAGCCTGACCTTCCAGGTCACAAAATTCTCCCCCTTCTATTTTCTCTTGCTCTCTTTATGTCGTTTCCCTTTTGTCTGCCTTCACAGCCGGTGCCCGTTACGTCAGAACCTCTTTGGATGGTCGCTGGTGTCAGTACTGCATAGTTGCCTGTGTCTAGATTAGCTATTGTTTTGTCTTTGGTTATGGAGACGGGTGTGTGGGTAACTTGTCAGCTGAAGACGTAATTGGGTTTTGAAGCAGATTTCGAAGGCTGAAGTCATTTCATGCCATGACGGTAGTTTGAAAAAAAAGTCTGAATGCATAATTAGTTAGGAGACAAGGGGACCCAGAGCAAAGCCATGAATGGGCCTTTTAATGCTTGGGCAAAACAATGGGCTGATAGTGGTTGTGTGCAATTAGCACGGCAGGAGAGATGGGAGCTTGGTAGAGATGGGGCACTCAAGTTTGTTAATATGCATATTTATATCTTATTAATGATGTTTGCTAAGGTAAGCTTTACTACCCTTACAAAAATTAACCATGGTTTTATTATAGTAAAAGTGTAGTAACCATGGTTTTTTGGTGTATTGATTACCATTTGTATAGCCACAGTTTTACCACAAACGCCATGGTTAAACTATGGTTAGTGTAGCAAAACCGTGGTTAATTTGTGGTTGCCATAGTTTAACTATAGTAACCATGGTTTCTTGGTTTTATTTGTAGTAAAACCGTGGTTAATTTTCATAAGGGTGTAATTATTGCTCTTAAGGTGCAGTCACATTTACTGTTGTTAGGCAAAATTTCACAGGTGATTGGGAGTTTTGTGTGAGGGTGAACATGTTATAGACTTTTTTTTTTGCCTGTAAAATTTTTGCAGTTGTGTTCATGTGGAAGTTTACTGTGGTTTAAACTACGCCACTATCTCTAATTGTTAAATTTAGCATGTAATTGCTTGGTTGATTTCTAAAAAAGGACTGATACTTCGAATTCACTTTGGCCTAGTAGATATTTTAAATCACTAGCATGGAGTATTTGCATCAAAGAAGCAACATGAAGCATTTCTGTTAGACAGAATATCAATATGTCAAAGACTTGAGAGGCGACTCCTTTTCTTAGGCCGCTAAGCAACCGCTAAACAGACGCAAAAGAACATGCTAAAACCCATTTATAGCACTTTAGCAACCACATACTTTAAGCAATGCGGAACCAACCACCCACAATCTAGTATATCATGACGCTATATTCACCTATTTTCATGCGCATTTTGGGTTATCGCATAAAAAGACGCTGGATGTTAACGCCAAGATGAGCGTAAATTAAAAAAAAAAAATGCGCATAAAAAACTTATGCGCTTAACTAACTAGGATAAATGTCTTATCCGATAAGAAAACATGCGCATAAAGTGGAAACACTTTTACCGAATAAATTCCTTAATGCGCATCAAAAAAGACGTGACTTTGCGATGGGACAGCATTCCTGGGCCAACCAACGGACCGATCTCATTGCACAGCATCTGAAATGCTAGTTTTGTCATTTTAAAATGCTTGAGCAAAGTTTCATCAAAGTGCTTTGTTGTAATTAACACCTAGAACTGCGTTTAAACAGCAGACTCCGAGAATAAGAATAAGCGTCTGTGCGCTCCGAAGCGCGTATTTTATTGTATACAAATTTATTAGCTATATAGGCTACAGTGCCTTCTCCTGCTGAAGCAAATAAATTTTTTCTTCGTGATATTTAGCGCAAGTTAATTAAGAAGTGACGATTTTGTTCTCTTCAACTCACTGGATGGAAATGGTGCTTTATTCGTGGGAATTTATCGGGCGTACACACGTATTTTTGCGTAAAATTTGTGTGCGAACGTTTTTATAATTCAGATTCGGGTTTAAAATGATCCTTTATTCAAAACACATTTAGAAATCAACTTAATTTAACTTTAACGAAAACAAGCCTGAGAGAGACCGATTAAGTTGTGCGGAAAGCCCTTATATGGAGATGTTTGGGCGTGTTCTATGCAAATTACTATGCAGGCACACGCCCCTTCATTTAGAGTTCACCATCAACATTGATTGGACGAGGGCAGGAACAAATGTGTGTGCATAGGCAACTGTTGTGATTCCGGTGGAAATTTTGCGCAAAAACATAAGTCTGTGCCCTTAACCTCTTAAGACCCGAGAAAAGTTTTTTTCATGTCTTTACATTGTTTAGAGCATGTAAAACATGATATTTCATTCATAAGTTATACTATGTCCTTATGAAATCAACATCCTGTTTCGTAACAGAAAGTCATATTTTGATTTGAAAACCCATAATATTTTCCTGAGATGTTGATTTATGACAGACAGTTAAAAAATTAGACAGATTTAAATGATAATTACAAAATATCTTAAACAGAATTACAAAATATTATATATTTCCATAAGAGTGTCACTAAATTAATATCAGACATATTTGAAGACCAAGGAGAGGGAGTGGTCATAGTGAAATATCCAAACATTTAGTATCTCTGAAAAGCCCTGAATGTGCTCTGTACATGACATCCAGACTTAAAACTGTGGCATGTATAGTCTCAGAGAAATACGCCAAAATATAATGTCCTCATATGAGGTCACAGGGTCTCAGGAGGATAAATAGGCAATTTATATGTCATTAATAAATGAGGCCACATATCTTCAGAAAATCTATTTTACACTACAGAGCGGTGTTTGCAGAGTGTGTGGTTGCTAACATGGGAAACGGAGTCAGTAAACAGTGCCAAATGTCATCTTGGCTTAGGCCTGCACCGACAGCAAAAACAAAATATATTTGACTTAACAAGGAGAACGTTTTGGAGAAAATTAGTTCAGTTCATGCACAACGGCTTTTGTCCCCAGACGTTACAACTGACATGCAAAACTCGAGAGACTGCGCCAGTGCTATATTTTCTGAGCTCTGACTGCATCCTTAATTCTGTGTTTCCAAGCCTCACACAAAACAGTCTGTGTCTGTGTGCATGTTTTTCATTAGAGTCTGTTATATAATAACTTGAGGAAGAAGAAGAGGCCGGAATGAGTCGAGCTTCCTCTATGCATTATATTATTCTGGTGAAACTAACTTACATATGTCACTGGAGTATTAAACCACATAATATATAGACTTTACATAAATTAGGAAGGTTTTGCTGTTGACAGACTAATTTAGAGAAAGAACACAGCTATTGGCCCTGATATTTAAAGCATAAAACTGCTATTAAAAATAAGAAATGGAACAAAACCTGTTTGCCAACATCACTATGTATGCAGCCATGTTTTGCTGTCACTGTTTTGTTGTCTTAGCAACTTTTATTCTCACTTTTGTGAGTTTGAATTTAACTGGTTACTTTTTCACTGTCTGCAACAGATCTTGGTGCTTCTGCTAGCCTTTTCAAACCCATCTTGTGAGAGTCAAGCTTAAATGTGTACAGGCGAAACTGACTCTTGATCAGTGTGAGATGTTAGTTTAGTGTCCGTTATGACAGGAAGTGAATGAGGTGTGGGTGTCTTGTTGAAGGCTATTTTAGAGCTTCTTGGTCGGGTCTGTGTCCTAAGGGTGTAGGCTGCAGATTTTTGTGCAACAACGTCCTTCCAATCCACTAAATGATGTTTTATTAACAAAGTTCGGGAGGAGCACGTTCAGATAGTTAACCTAATTAACATGAGAGGAGCACAATCAGTAATCAACCCAATTAACAAGAGGTGTGTATATATACACAGTGGGGGGATGGGGGGATTAATAGAGACACAGCAACAATCCTAAAATCTCTTTGCTGTCAGTATGTGCAAAAGAATAGCCTATTGTAGCAATCCATAAGTGTATTTTGGTGCATGTTGCTAAGGAAGTTGAATGGATTGATGTATGTGGCATCTTGGAGTGATCACAGAGCGTGAGCATGGTTGTGAGAGAGTGCAGATACAAGTCACATGTGTAGACAGACAGGATGTGGTAGAGAGATTGTGCAGGAAATGCATCACAATGCAATGCTGCCTGGTGAAAAAAAGACTGTACTCTTTCCAGAGAAAGAAAAGTTTTTGTGTAATCTTTTAGTCCCATTTGAAGGGGATTCACCAGACATTATTTACATGTTTCGAGACTGAAATCAAAGTAAAATCCCTGTTCCATCTGAAAAGTTCCCTAAATGAAACCAGACATGTTAATGCATCACTTGATTATTTTTCTTTTTCTACCACAATAATTACCAACAATATAATTGGAAATGTTTTTTTTTTACCTTAACCTACGATGATCCTATAGTTGGATCTTTTGCTTTTAAATCTATAGTGGAATGCAATCTAATTTAATGCAGTTTAATAAATGATTTTACAATACAAACAATACATATGTATATAACATCATGGGGGCCAGTTTGGAAAAGGCAAGCATCACTTGCGTAAAATATGTAAAAATGTAATGTAATTGAACTGAACTAAGTGCATTATCAGTCTGAAAAAGTGAGCGTGTGTTTGTCTGTGAAATGCATTGAGCTTATTAATCTCTAAACGAAGTGTTGTTGAAGGCCTCTAACATGCTTGACCGATTTAGAAACAACAGAAAGTGCTTTCCTAACTGCTATCCAAGTTCTGAACCGACTCACTATTTCCATTCACACGCACTGAGGTAGTAGTACTTCCAGCTTATAGTTGAGACAATATTCCCTCTGTTTACAGGGTTTAATATGACGTTGCCTGCCATGGCAGGTGAGTAAATAATGGCCTCATATCAAGTGCACACATTCAAAACAAGCATCTGTGTGGCTTTGTTTTTATGCCAATAGAGAATAGACCATTTGTTGACTGATTAATAGATAATGATGTTGTGTTTTTCAAATTTTAGGTGATATATTTTATTTCATGACTGATGACTGATAATAGTTCTCAACCACTTAGCAAACATTCAGTTCCCCACATATACAGTACACATGCATTTCAGTGCCTCAGGCTGTAACAGGTGCATTAATGTTCGTTAATGAACATTGCTCCTTCCCTCCATCTCTCCAGCCTTTCTTTCCTTATGGAATAGTTAAACAAATGAGTCAGCCAAACTATAACGTGTCTGCTAATAGCAGAGATTAGAACTGGAGTAGTATAGACAGCTGTGTTTCAGCTGAACTCAGTGGGGTGAGTTAAGAGCAACCTGCTAACAAAATGGGAAACTCTTCAATTCACATTAAAGCATTTGGCTGTGAGCCAGTACACTTATTAGGATTGTGTGTGTGTGTGTGTGTGTGTGGGCAGGTGAAATATCTTAAACCAGCCATGGAGGTTGTTGTGAGGCATTTAAACAGAAGACTATCTAAATTAGACTCTATCCTGTTTTTCGGCCACAGTTAGTTCCTCATTTTCAGCGGTTTTATGATGACAGAACCTTTGATCACAACTGTTTTACCTCTCGTCTTACGACTAATGTTTGTCTGGTGCTGGTAAATCAATGTGCACCTGGTTAAAAGATTACATTGATTGCCAATGTAATTTTAAGGTCTATTTCCATGAAAGCCTTTGAGACAGGAAAGCCATCTGACCAGTAGTTATATAATAATTATCTGGCCTATTATGTGGAAAATACATGTATCAATACTTGGGTACATAGATTAAAAAAGGGAATTTTGCTACAATTCCTAAAGCTTTTTATAGAAGGTCCCTAAAAAAACAGGCAGGAAGGGAAAGCAGGTTGTTGCAGGAAGCTGGTGAGGCTATTTGCCATAACCAGCACTGAAGTTCATTTTTAAACATGTCTAAACATTTCCTCAACGAATGCACAAAAGTACATGTTGCTGACGTTTTTCTTTTGGAGCTAGAGGTCAGTTTGCAAACTAAAAGGAACTGCAAATTTAGTTAATTTCAGTGTAAACAGGTTGCAGTTTTTGGGGTCATTCTGACAAGGCTGATGGCACCAATTTCGAATAGGACAAGCATTACTCTTTCTAGTATAGCATACTACATTACTAACATACTACTCTTGACAGAGTTGTACGCTAGTATGCTATTCCTAACTCCAAACTCTCCAAAGTCCTTTACTAGTGACAATCCTGGTCCGGAAAAATGTGAATTATGTGAATTCCAGTTAAGACTGGAACCCCCAAAGAAAGTGGAAAAAAAAAAAGTTTTATATATATATATATATATATATATATATACAGATTTTCAAACACCATTTCAGTAACCACGAAAATTTGAAATGACAAATAACTCGCAAAAACTTTACAACTGAAATTAAATACTATAGAAAGGCCTCAAAAGTCATTACATACTGGTAGACTTTGCACATGAGCAGGGTTTATTTTGGTGACTGTTGTGTCCTGTCTATTTTTTCTCTCAGAGAGACCAAAGATGCACATCGCCCCATTGAGATCAGAGAGAAGACACTATGTGCACGTCTGTTTGTGCAAAATGAATGGTAGTGTCTCTACTTACTTATTAAAAGAAATAAGCAAATGCATTAGTTGTAAAAGCTTTCCATCTCAACACTAAAAGCAAAAGTGTGTGCCAAAACTAAGGTACACTGTAAAACTTAAGAAAGGATACTTAAATAATATGGCCTTGCCTTGCACAAATGGATATTAGAACTGTACACTGAGAGATTTTTATGCTTTGTTGTTACTACTACCGTTGTCCAAAAAACACTGGAGCACAAGTGGAACACATTGTCCAGCCAGGTCTCAATAACTGAATGTTGCTGTTGTTGTGTTTGTGTGTGTGTTTGAACAGCTTGGCTCTGCAGGTCCATTCTGTAACACTGGTGAGCATGTTTATCAGGAGGTGGGGATATTGATTCATCAGGGTTTTTCAAGAGACCC